TGGGCATTTGGGTTGTCTCCACCTTTTGGCTATTGTGAATAATGCTGCTATGAACATTTGGGTACAAATTCTCATATGAATCCAATTAGGAGTGGTATTGCTGGGTTGTACAGAATTCAATGTTTAACTTTTTGAGGAACTGCCACACTTTTTTCCCCAAGCACTTGCACAATTATACATTTCTGCCAGCTTTGTGTGAGATTTCCTATTTCTCCATACCCTCATCAACACTTGTTATTATCCATCTTTTTCATTATATGTACTCTAGGAAGTGTGAAGTGTCATTTCACTGTGGTTTTAATTTGCATTTCCTTATTAAGTAGTGATATTGAGCATCTTTTCATGTGCCACTTGTAGATATGTTTTGGAGAAATGCTTATTCAAATTATTGGTCCATTTTTAAATTGCATTATTTATCTTCTTATTGTTGAATTATAAGAGTTCTTTATATATTCTGGATACTACACCCTTATCAGACACACTTTTTGCAAATATTTTCTCCCGTGTAAATTCTTTTCCATGTTTTAGTAGTGTTCTTTGAAGAACAAAAGTTTTAACTTTGACAAAGCCCAATTTATCTAATTTTTTTAGTTGTGCTATTGATGTCAGATTTAAGAAACTATTGCCTAATCCAAGGACAAGAAGATTTACACCTCGTTAGTCTTTGACCCATCTTGAATTAACTTTTGTATATGGTGTGAAGAAGGGGACTACCTTCATTCTTTCGCATGTGGATATCCAGTTATCCCAACACCATCTGTTAAAAAAGATTTTTTTCCCTATTGAACTGTCTTGGCACATTTTTGGGGGTGGGGAGGCTTAAACAATAGGAATTTATTTCTCACATTTCTTGAGGCTGGGAAGTACAAGAAAGAGGTGTGAAATGATTTAGTTCCCTGGTAAGGCTCTCCTCCTGGCTTGCAGATATTAGCCATCTCACTGTGTCCTCACGTGGGTGGGGGTGAGACGAGGGAGAGGAAGAGAGAGACAAGTTCTCTGGTGTCTCTTCTGATAAGGGCACTAATCCCATCATGAGGGCCCCAACTGCATAACCTCATCTAAACCTAATTACCTTCCTAAGGCCTCATCTCCAAATAGCATTACATTGGGGATTAGGGCTTTAACATATGAATTTGAGAGGGGCACAATTCAGTCCATGGCAGGAAGTAAGAAAACTATATAGTATATGAGAAGGTACTAAGTATTAAGGAAAAAAATAAAAAGGGAAAGAGAATAGGGAATGTTGGTAGGGGGTGCTAAATTTTAAACACGGTGATATTGAGCACTGAGAAAATATCATTTGAATACAGATTCTTCACAGGTAAGGGGATGAGCTGTGTATATATATGGAAGGGAAATATTCTAGCAGAGAGAAATGCAAGTGCAAGGACCCTGGAGAAAGAGCTTACCTGACATAGTCAGAGAACAGCAAGAAGCACAGTATACCTTCTTCAGTGTGGCCTCTTCTCTCCCTTTAGTTGTGGAGTTTGTTCTGTCAGTCCTCAGGTTGATTTCTGGGGTATTTAAGATGATTTGGTAGTTATCTAGTTGTCTTCATGAGATGAGACAAGCCTAGGGTCCTCCTACTCCTCCACCATCTTCTTCTCCCTCTGTCTTGGCACTTTTGTCAAAAATCAACTCACTGTAAATATGGGAGTTTGTTTCTGGACCTTCAATTCTACCCCCTTGTTCTATATGTCTATATTTTGCCATTACAACACAGTCTCGATTATTGTAGCACTGCAATAAGCTTGAGGTTGAGAACTGCCAGTTCTCCAATTTTGTTCTTTTTCAAGATTTTTGTGACTATTCTTAGTTTCCTTCAATTTCCATGTAAATTTTAGGATCAGCTTCTCAATTTCTGCAAGAAATCCAGCTGGTTGTTTGGGATTGCAGTAAATCTCTGCAGATCAATTTGGGGAAATGTTGTTATCTTAACAATAAGTCTTCCAATCCATGAAATTCTTCCATTTATTTAAAAATTTCTTTCAACAATATTTTGTAACTTTCAGTGTACAAATCTTGCATTTCTTTTGTTAAAGTTACTCCTAAGTAACTTATTCTTTTTGATGCTATTGCAAATGAAAATTTTTAAATTTATTTTTATTGAAATATAGTTGATACACAATTTTACATTAGTTTCAGGTTTACAACATAGTGATTTAAAAAGTCTATATGCTATACTATGCTTATGACAAATGTAGCTACTTTTTGTCACCATACAACACTATTACAATATGTAAATGGATTTCTTAATTTCATTTTTGGATTTATTCCCTCTGTACACAAAGTGATTGATTTTTGTATACTGAATGTTTCTTGTAACTTACACTGAACTTATTTTATCATGAAAATGTGTTAGGTATTGCCAAATGCTTTTTTCTCCTCTTGAGATCACATGGTTTTTGTATTTTATTCTATTAATATGGCATATTACATTGATTGATTTTAGTTGGACCAACAAAATTGGTTGGATGTTGAACCAACCTTGCAATCCCGGGATAAATCCTACTTGGTCATTGTGTATAATCCTTTAGTAAGTTGCTGGATTCAGTTTTCTACTTTTCTGTTGAGAATTTTTGCATCTATACCCATAAGAGATATTGCTGTGTAATTTTCCTTTCTTGTGATGTCTTTGATTGGTTTTGGTAACAGGCAATGCTGGCCTCTAGAATACGATGATACGTGTTTGCCCTTCTATTTTTCATATGTTTGTAAAGGACTGGTGTTAATTCTTTAAATATTTGCTAGAACTCATCAATGAAGGCATTTGGTCCTGAGCTTTCCTTTGTGGGAAATCTTCTGATTACTAATTCTTCTATCTCTTTACTTTTATAGATCTATTCAGATCTTTTTCTTGCTGTGTCAGTTTCAGTAGCTTGTGTTTTTCTATGAATTTGTCCATCCTATCTAAGTTATGCAATTTGCTGTGAAACAATTGCTCAAGGCATTCTCTTATAATGCTTTATATTTCTATAAGGTTGGAAGCAACATCCCCTCTTTCATTCCTAATTTTAGTAATTTAAATCCTTTTTGTATTTTCTCTTGGTCAGTCTAGTTAAAGGTTGTCAATTTTCTTTATCTTCTCAAAGAACTTTTGTTATCCTTATTTTTTTTCTACTGAACATTTTTTTTTTTTAAGATTTTATTTATTCATTTGAGAGAGAGAGAGAGCACAACCAGGGGGAGAGGCAGAGGGAGAAGCAGACTCCTCACTGAGCTCGGAGCCTGACGTGGGCCTCAATCCAGGACCTGGAGATCATGACCTGAGCCGAAGGCAGACGCTTAACCATCTGAGCCACCCAGGTGCCCCTCTACTGAATCTTCTATTCTCTCTCCTTTATTTCCACTCAGGTATCTGTTATCACTTTGATCTGCTTGCCTTGTGCTTGGCTTGCCCTTCTTTTTCTTTCTTTTTAAAATTTTTTAAAACTTTATTTTATTTATTCATGAGAGACAGAGAGAGAGAGAGTGGCAGAGGGAGAAGCAGGCTCCCCATAGAGCAGGGAGCCCAATGTGAGACTTGATCCCAGGACCCTGGGATCATGACCTGAGCTGAAGGCAGCCACTTAATCAACTGAGCCACCCAGGCACCCCTAAACTATGGATTTTTAAAGCTGCAAGGGATTTACATGATTTTATAGTACTAAATTCCACATTTAAGAGATGAAACTAATTTCTCAAAAGGCATGGTGATTGCCAATGTGACTTAGCAAATTAGTGGCAGAGCCAGGATTAGAGCACAGTCTCTTGTCTTCCCCCTGGTATTCTTTCTACTACCCCACTACCCTTATCTGTGGATTAGGAACTATACCAGAAAGGATAAATGGTTTCACCCTTTTAAAAACAATTTAGAAATTATCTTCTATTCTAGTGTTTATAACTTATTACTCACTGATCAACTAAAGAAAATATATAATACTAGGGATCTAATATATCCTAATCTATAGATGAATTCTTTAACTGGTAAGTTATCAATTCAAATTTCTTTGAACTATGCTTACAGTTGTACTATCTAATGCTATAGAAACAAGCTGTATTCAATCTAAACACCCTCAAAATAAAAGCAAATATATACATATATAATAATAATTCATTTACCCAAATGAATATATAAAATACTTGACTGCTGGGAATTTTGACTTGAAAATAATAAACCACATCCACAACTTGACAACTCATAACATTTCAATTCAAATCACCCACATGAAGCCTAAATGTGCACTGAATAACAATGTTTCTTAGAAAAAGATGAGTGAATATATTTCTGGAATGATGACAGAGAAGTGCATCTTTTATAACCATTATTGATCAGAAGTATAGCTTCATTCACAAATACATAAAAAGTCAAAATTTACAGAAAAATTAGTGAACAATAAGAGAACATTTTTCGGCTGCAGTTACATGTTTGGGTTTACTTATAAAATTTATATATGAAGTTTTCTATCCTGTTTCATAATTATAGCCTTCATGCTAGAACATGTCACTTTTTTCCACAATGATGATGAAGCTAAATAATTAGAATTGAAAATTAGGAGTCATTCATTTGGCATTTTGTAACTTTACATAATTTGCTTAAAATGTGCTTGATTTTGGTTCATCAAAAACAGAAAAATGTAAAGCAATATCAAATAAAAACAGTTTTCTTCTGAATCCTTAATTGCTTATAAGTAGGCAGTTTAATATGGGAATAAACTTTTTAAGAAAACTTTGATTTCTAAAATAATATACTGATTTGAGGTAAATATATAGTGAAACATGACTGAGGTGTGACTGGATTAGACTGCTATTCATTTTTATGTATCAGTATGAAAATAAATGGATGAAAAGGACTATAAAATACAAATATTTATGTGAAATTTAAAGGAAAAGACATATCTTTCAGATTAATTTTAAATTGTTTATAGGTAAAGAAAACTTGTTAGAGGAAAATATTTTGTACGAATCACTTTTGTCAAAACTCAAAAACAATAAAACTTACATTCTGAACATAAGACTTTTTAAAAACTCTAATACCAAAGAATTAAAGTAAAAAATATTTTTAAAATAAAAAACTTATACCATTTACCCAATGTAGAAACTGTCATTAAGCATGACAGCATATATTTATAGTGTTACAGTTAAGTATCATTACCTAACACCAGGGAACACACCTTTATTTTTGGAAGGAGACTGTTTAAACTTCTTTATATCTGTTTCACAAGTTTTCCCCAGTTCCAATTCGTTTATATGAGTTGTTTTTACATTACATTACTACCAAGGTTATCGATTTTACTTTCTTTAATATGCATGAGTCTATTCAACTTTGTGTCTGTGCAATCCTCAGCTTTCATTTCTTGGACTGAATCCACTCCTTTCATAGTTCTAATTTCAAAAAGATCTTCAACTAAAATGCAATTTGAATGATTAGCCAATCTATTGTCTCTATCACTTTCAACTAGATCATTCTTTTCTTCATTTGTATCCATAGGATCATAAAGCTCAGGTGAAAAATAGATAGATTCATCCTCTGCTTCTGTTTCAGAAGCTCTATGTGAAGTGGAAAGTTCAGCTTCTTCACCAACTAGAGACAATTCAGTGTCCGGATCCAGGGCTTCTTCACAGCAGAACAGCTGTTTGGAATCATTTCTTTTAAGAAGATTAGAATCAATCTTTATTGAAGAAATAGTGCTTTCTGACTGAGGGCATGGTCCAAATGATGCGTTTACCGTCAGAGATGAGGACTCACATTTATCAACGAGTGGCAAAACTGTTTTACATCCCTTTTCTGTTTTGAAAGTGGAGACACTAGAGGTACAGTCCTCTGGTGACCTGAACTTAGGTGCTGCAGTCAGAATTTCACCAGTAAGACAATGTCCCAAAGAATTAAAGCTAGACCAGCTAGCTCTCTTTGTCTGTTTGTTGAAGGTTGGGCTTGTGGACCTGGAAATCACAATTTTTTCTGCTTTCACTGCCTGGGCGGACTCTTCCAATAATACAGGATCATCTATGAATACAAAAATTTAAGAGTGTTAATTTTCTGCTCCTAACTAATATAATAATTGTCACATTAACGTAATTTTTGTTAAAAATACTGAAATAACCGTATAGGATCATAATTTAAAGCCCACAATTTAAAGCAAGACTTCCATCTTAGAACATAAAGCACAAAATGTGAACTCTGAAAGGATTCCTAGGTCTCCAGTGATTCTGAGCCCAAGTTATAATGCTGTCTGGTAAACTAGCAAATTCCACACTAGGGACCTCAGTAGTGAATGAAAAAAGGAATAGGAAGAGGGCTGAGTAACGGGGGAAACACACTATAAAAATCTGCCTTGAAAATCCACTAGCCAAGTATTGGGAAAAATTGACCTAGATTAATTCCCTAAAGGAAACGGGCAACCACAAAGACTAAATTATTTGTTTAAAGTTATAAAACTGGTTAGTACTCAGATCCAAACTAGAACTTAGGTTTCCTAATTACCAGTCTAATGGCCTTGAATTCACTATGACATTTATTTTTTATTTATTTTTTTAAAGATTTTATTTATTTATTTGACAGAGAGATACACACCGAGAGAGG